ATATGAACTGTATCGTATTGTATATATGAACTACATTCATATTGTATATAAAAGTATATATAAACATGCAAATGAAAATGTAAATAAATATTATTCTCTTTGAAAATCAAATAGGTTTTACAAACAATGCTTTGATGATTTACACGTAAGTCAGGATTAAATTACCTTTCATACGTACATGGGCTCAACAAATTGAAAAGGAAGTGCTTCAAAAAACATGTTTGGAGTTTTTCCAAATCCAACATATTTGAAAATCATTTCACCCAACACTACAGTTATTTTTGTTGCTTATCTAATAGACTTCAAAATCAGAGTTCCAAAAAGTATCTGAGTGAAAGATCTCTTAGTGGTCACTAAGTCATCCTGTCGCCAGTAATTAAAGAGGACTTTATTCAACTCACACCATATAGTTCACTTTTACAGTTTTCCTTCTTCACCCTAATCCGTAGTGACCTGGAAAATGTGCTACTAGGAACAAGACTGCATTTTGCACTGTGTACACTTATGGCACTCCTGATCAAGGGGGTGGGTCTATGGCCCCTGGGTTTTTCAAGGATGGAGCAACAAGTTTGGGGTGGCAGTCATTTAAATGCATAGTGGATACCTGTATTCTTCATGAAATCCAGCAATATCAAATTTATTTGGTAATCCAATTCACTTGAGTTATCTACTTTACAAAGGACTTATCAAAGTTTCCTTGCCAACAGACACATAGAGTGAGTGGTAGTTACAGAGGAATCACCATTTCACTAAGAGTTCTCTAGTTCAATAATAGATGGATCATAACTGGGCATGTAGAAAATGCCATTGCAAACATAGCTAAAGTCAACTTAGATTGAGTTTCTTATTGGTAGATGTAATGGTAAGATTGTTTTTAGGAGAGTATTTTTAACTGTAATTCTTGGTGTAGCTCATTGGTTCAGGTCATTGGTTCTTTGCATACTTCCTCTAACTGGCTGATTCAGCAAGTGGTTCTTTCTTCTATATTTAGCTTATTCCAAATATATCTTTGCTGAAATACAGCTGATATTGACTGACCCAAGCTGTTAAGCAAATCATTTTGAATCTCTTTCAAATCTTATTATTTACTGACAACTGAACTGCATGTTGCCTCATGAAATATAATAGTTTCCATGCAATTTTGGGGAGAGACCAAGAAAATAATGAAAAGAGGTCAAGTTAAGTGATTAAGTGTGCCAGTGAATTTTTCCACATATGCTAAGATTTGTTTAGTAGGAAAAGTATTTCAGACTTGTGAAAGCTGAAATTTATACTCCTAACTCAATTTGTAATCACAATGGTACTAGTAGTAGTTAGTGACATTTTCACTTTCTAGCTGCTAGTCTTATAGATCCTA